TAATTAAATTTCAAAATTCAAGAACAAATTACAGGCGAATCAGTTGATTCGGCAACTAACCAAGACGATCCACCGGAGTTTTTAAACTCGCTGGATTTGCTAGGATTGTCACCTCACAATCTTCAATTAAAGGTTGGATCGACAATTATAATGTTGCAAAATATCGACCAACTATATTCAAAGGTTTGCACAAAGCAGAAGATGTTCTCGCACCATGCATCCCAATGAGTTTCCAGTGCGTTTATGGTATCATTAGTGTTTGTGGCATTAATTTAGAAAAACCCATGTTCTCACATGGAAAATTGTATGTTGTTTGTTCCCGTATTGGAAAACCATCAGATTTGTTTGTCTATGCGCCAGGTAATCAAACAAAAAACATCGTTTATCACAAGCACTACAATGAAAATTGAACTGATTTTTGAATTATGATTTACATTATTAAAATTACTTACTTTTAAATGCTTATAGTGTTTTATTTAATCATTTTTAATTCACACCGAATTTTACCAGGGTGACGGTTCTGTTCAGGATAATTTTTTGCAAAGAATAGAAAAAAGGTAGACAAAACACCGCCACATTACAATTTTTTTTGACAGGACGAAGTCTGTCGGGCCGGCTAGTTAAGCATAATTTGGTCGCAAGTATGAAATTATTTTCTATTTCAGGACATTTTATGAGCAAACAAAGGACACGTCTAAGTAGCAATTCGATAGATGTTCTCAGTTTTTTGAAATCATATTTTTATAAACAAAAAAACAGTCAAAATGTTTGAAACTAATTAATTAAAATTGCTTGGAATAGACAATACCCGAGTTTAGCTTAATTGTTTTTAAAACTAAAATTGATATTAACAAGTATGTATCAATATGTATCTAATATTAATTTGAGGAATGTTTTTTATTTAAAAATGTAATATTTTTATTTATTCGAAAAGTTTCCTTTTACTATCATAAAAATATTTTCATTCTTATATGTGAAAACGATGCATGAATAACGAATATTATTTTCAAAGTTATTTAATCAATTTAAACTATTATTTTCTAAATCTACTAATTAAAATTCAAATAATTTTGCATACTATCCATAAAATTGAACAATAATTAATTTTAGTCAAATACTGCTCTAAATAACACTAAATTTGCGGTTAAATCACAGAATATTCGAGCAAAAAATTATTTTCTACATAAAATTCGAAAACCGGCTAAAACCGGTTTTTTAGTGAAATTAAAATTCGAAAACCGGTTTTCTGAAATGCCAGTTTTTGTGTAAACCCTAATTGCCATAACTGTTAGCCGGTCCACCACCGGTATCTCCAAAACCAGTAAAGTTAAGATTTTTTTTACAATATTTGAAAGTAGAGGGCAAAAAATGTATAACCAGGCACAACCTTGATTCTTATGACGTTGCTATCGGTAGAAAAACGGCATTGTTTGAAACTCCATAACAAAAGTATTTTATTGCGTTGTTATTTGTTTTGATTGTGAGTGCTCTGTTGCTTAGTTTTCTAGACCTTAATATAATTTTTAAGTATACGTTATTTAGTTGTTTTAACAGTTTTTTTTTTAAAATAACCTCTATAAAAACTCAAATCTGGGTGGGACAAATCCACTCGGAATATTTTTAATCACTCATAAATTAATTTATTTTTTATTGATTAAGTCGATTGTTTACACATTTCGGAAAGTTCATAACTTGCCTCAAGGCAAAATACCAATACCAACTAGCTTCTGACTGTTTTCATAAGTAGTGACATTAATGATAATTATTTAAAATAAAAATTTTAACAATTTATATATCTATTTATATTTGCTGAAACTTTTCTATTCAAAATATTTTTGTAGCTTCCCGTAGGGCAAGTTATAGTAATCGCAAGAAACTCGAAAATGAAATTATATATCTTTACGTTTAAAAGGTTTCTGAATATTTTGGCATACCTTAGAAAAAATTGATGTATGTTTGTGTGTAAGTATGTGTGTGTATATATGTGTGTGTGCGTGTGTGTGCGTGTGTGTGCGGATACAAATAATAGTCGACGATTTCGGGAACACCGATCAACCAATTTGAATAATTCAAAAAACGTTTGATTCGTATTGATAAGGAGAAGTCTAATTAGTTTTTGGCGAAGGCAGATCTAGCCGTTCCGAAGATTCGGGGCAAAAAGTGACAAAAATGGAAACTCAGTTTTTAAGAGAACGAAGCGTCCGATTTGAATAATTCAAAAAACATTGTATTTGTATTGACTAAATAAAGAACTGTTCAAATTTTTTGAAAGGCAGGTGCAACGACTTCGGAGATATGGAGGAAAAAGTAAAAAAATGAGCCATTTGGCGGTCAAAAATGATCATTAGACATATATACATCAAATTATCAGATATTTTATAGAGATTTTAACAGTAAGTATAAATTTTGTTTGCATTCCTGTGGGTTCCGTATCAATGCTTAATTATTAGACGGCGACGCGGCGCTTACGCGCTTCGATATTTTGTCTCTATGCAGTTAAAGCAGTAAGATTGCTTTGAAAAAAAAGTTCAGAATTTGCAAAATATGTCAAAATAAAGAATTTTTTTTTCAATAAAGTAATTTTTTGTCAACTTCCTAATTTGTCAAAAATCTAATTTTTTCGAAGTAAAATTTTTTCAAAAATGTTAATCGTTTTTGAAAAAATAATTATATTTGGTACGGAAAGTTCCAGCAATTTGCCTTGAAGCACGAAGCCTCAATTGCTTTAAGACAGAATTCCGCTCACAGCTAGTTTAAACAATATTTGAAAGTAGAGGGCAAAAAATGTATATCCAGACACGACCTTGATTCTTACGACGTTGCTATCGGTAGAAAAACGATATTGTTTGAAAATACATAACAAAAGTATTTTATTGCGTTGTTATTTGTTTTGATTGTGAGTGCTGTTGCTTAGTTTGCAAGACCTTAATATAATTTTTAGGTATACGTTATTTAATTGTTTTAACAGTTTTTTAAATAACCTCTATAAAAACTCACATCTGGGTGACAAATCCACTCAAAACACTTTTAATCACTCATAACTATTTCTTATTGATCAAGTCGATTATTTACACATTTCGGGAAGTTCATGTAACTTGCCTCAAGGCAAAATACCAATACCAACTAGCTTCTGACTGTTTTCATAAGTAGTGACATTAATGATAATTATTATTCAATGCAATTCTAATAAAAAATTTAACAATTTATATATCTATTTATATTTGCTGAAACTTTCTATTCAAAATATTTTTCTAACTTCCCGTAGGGCAAGATATAGTAATTGCAAAAAATCGAAAATAATTTTTTTTATATATCTTTACGTTTCAAAGGTTTCTGAATATTTTGGCATACCTTAGAAAAATGGATGCATGTGTGTGTGTGTGTGCGGATACAAATTTTCGTCGACGATTTCGGGAACATCGATCAACCGATTTGAATAATTCAAAAAACGTTTGGTTCGTATTGATAAGGAGACGTGCTGATTAGGTTTTGGCGAAGGCAGGTTTAGCCGTTCCGAAGATACGGGGCAAAAGGTGACAAAAATGGTAACTCAGTTTTTAAGAGAACGGAGCGTCCGATTTTAATAAAAAACATTTTACTTGTATTGATAAGGTGAAGAATTGGTCAAATCTTGATGAAGGCAGGTCTAGCGGTTTCGGAGATCTAATGAAAAAAGTAAAAAAATGCCATTCGGCGGTCAAAAATGATCATTAGACATATGCACATAAAATTATCAGATATTTTCTAGAGATTTTAACAATAAGTATAAATCTTGTTTACATTCCTATGGGTTCCGTACCAATGTTTATCCGTTAGACGGCGACGTGGCGCTTACGCGCTTTATATTTCGTCTCTATGCAGTTAAAGCAGTACGATTGCTTTGAGAACAAGTTCAGAATTTCTAAAATATGTCAAAATAAAGAAACTTTTTTTTTTAAAAAAGTAATTTTTTGACAATTTTATAGTTTCTCAAAAATCTAATTTTTTCGAAATAATTTTTTTTCAAAAATGTTAATCGTTTTTAAAAAAATAATAATTTTTGGTACGGGAAGTTCCAACAATTTGCCTTAAGGCACGATGCCATGCGCCCCACTAGTTATTAGAATCAATTAATTAAAAAAATAATGTACCAAAATAATTATTTTTTTGATAAATAAATTAAAAGATTGAATAAAAACAATAAATATTTATTTGAAACTTTTATAAATTCGACTTATTATACTAAAAATACTTTGTCAGGTGTGGGGTTCGAACCCACGCTCCCTCTCGGGAACCAGAGCTTAAATCTGGCGCCTTAGACCGCTCGGCCAACCTGACTGATGATTGTGAAGAGGCAATTATGAACACATAATTTAGGGTATTATACGATTGAACATACGACCCTGACGATAACTCATCATTCCACGAAAATTCAGTAAAATTTACCGATAATCTTTTTTTATGTATTATGCTGCCCTCTTTTGTAATCGAATTTTAGTTAGTTATGGAAATTGCAGCCATAGATAAATAAGCATATCTATGTACCTATTTTACATTATCTATGGTACCTACACTCTCAGTAATGTGATCTTTGTTGTATGTACACTTTTGTTGCTTGGATTCGAAAGCCATTTATCGTTTGGAGCTTTGTGATATATTATTTATATTTGTTGTGCGCTGCAGTACTTTACAACTCAAATTATAATCCGCCGAAAAATATTTTTTGTGCTGAATCAGGTAATTATTTACAAATCAATTGGTGCAGTTAGTAGTTTCTGCTTGTATTTTCAAAAGTATTTTATTTATTGATTTAGGTTAGATTCCAGCCCTAAATCCATATCCACAGAAGAATAAAGTGTTTTTTTGCTATTTCAAGTGTTACGTTTTCGAACAAGATGAGTAACATAAGCTTTGATGAAGATACAAAAAGACTATAGGCTAAAAAGCCGAAACTTTATGCACGTAGAAAGCAAACATTTTTGAGAGAATGGATGAATGATACCAAGTTCAACACGTGGTTAATGCCAGATGCATCAGACAAGTTTAAAGTTAGATGCAGATTATGTAATACATCGTTTACTGCTGAGCTCACGGTAATTAAAAATCATGGCAAATCTAAAAGTCATTTGTCATCAATCAGGCTTCGAATCAAAAATCAATTCAATCATTTACTAAAAAAAAAGTGGAAACATCATTTGATAACAATGCAACACGTGCAAAAATAAAACTTTGTGGATTTCTAGCTGAGCACAATCATCCTTTGCTTTTCAGATTCAAAAATTGTCCAGGATTTAAGGTTAAAATCATCAAAGTCTGCTACTGTAGTGTCAAACGTAATTAGAGCAACTGAAAAAGAAGATTTATCTATAAAGTTAGAGAATGTATTATTTAGTGTTATAATTGACGAGTCAACTGACAATTCTAGGACACAAAATTTATGCATTGTTGTTAGATCTTATGATGCTGAGCAAGGTAAAATCACCAGTCGCTTCTGGGAGTTGTATCAGATTTTTAATGAAGAAGATAAATCATGTGAAGCATCAGCACAACATATTTTGAAAATGTTGATGATTGAAAAATCTTTTGAAAAATACTCAGTTCCACTCACAAATATTATTGGGTTTGAATCAGAAGGGTGTAACAGTATGATAGGGGATAAAAATTTAGTAAGAACACGTTTTGAGCAGAGATGTCCTGGAATTTACATGATGAAATACCTGTGTCACTCATTACATCCCTGCGCAAGTAATGCATGTTCTGAATTACCAACAGAATGTGAAAAATTACCACAGCTAGTTTATAATCATTTTTCAGTGAGCTCAAAACGCCAATATGCATACAAAGGTATTCAATTCATTTTGGATTTGAAACAGCATAAAATTTTACAACCTGCTCAGACCCGCTGATTATCATTTTTGCTGGTTGGGCAGTGGGACGTATTAATTTTATATTTCAATCAATTAAATTATGAAGAGGAATCCATTAAGATGAGTAAAAGGAGGAAGCTGATAGTGATGGAACAGATGAAAATGAATCTGAAGTTGTAAGGATAGTTCAATACTTGCGAATCCCATAATATTGCTCTACTATCATTTTTTATTGTGGATTTTACCTAACTTCACGAATTTGAACAAGTTATTCCAGTCCGAAAAGCCTATTATTATGTCAGTTTATAAGAAAATTAGTGTGACATATTTGGATTTATTAAAAACGTATATGGATGATGACTACGTAAATAAAACACCCATATATAATATTGAATCATCGGATCAGACTAAATTTAAAAATATTCAAAATATTTATGTTGGAGTAGAAGTTTTTAAATATTTTAACCAAGCAGACTTTTCAAAACATCCTCGTTTACAAGAAAAATTGCATTTTCTTGCAAAATGCAAGAAGTTCATAATTCGAGGATGTGAAGAAATAAAGAAACGATTCGATTTCAATTATACTATATTGAAAAATTTATTAGTAATGGATCCTGCTGAGGCAATGAATGGTAAAACCGTAATCACTACGCCAAGTTTTCTACCATTAATGAGTAAACTGCCCCGATTATTAAACCCAAGTCAAATTCAAATTATTGATAATGAATGGCGAAGGTTTCATAATTTTGAATTGCTAGATGATATTAGTCTTGATGATCCAGTAGATAATTTTTGGCACAAAATTTTAATTTACAAAGATAAGGAAGAGGTTTGGTTTGGTTTAAAAATAGAGTAAACCCTCGCTTTACGCGGCAAGTGCGTACCGTGCAGTATGGGGATCGTGCTATAAAAAACTCGTATTTAACATACAATTCAGGCTAATTCGTAGTGCGTTCTATGGAACCTTACATAGTGCAGTATGGGAACCGTGATATGAGAGACCCAGAGTTGGTACAAATCGCACCATTTTTATCGTGCTATATGGAGATCAAGAAATACAACTTGAAGTGAGAGTAATACGAATAAAATGACATGTATGACATTGACACCTTATTCAAAAATTGGCGCAACGCATTATTCAGCTCAAACGTGTTCTTAGGCTGCTATTGTATAAGCAGGCATATCTAAAAGATGAAAAGTGATAAAAGATTACATTAATACACTCTTGATATCAAGTTCCTGTAATCACTCATAGACTGTGCAAGGAACTTATGGGCTGTTGAACAAAAACCGTGGAATAGGAAGTCCGTGTAGTCGGAGGGATGTCGGATTTTTAGCTCCGCGTAGTATGGGAACCGTGTACCCAGAGTTCAGTGTAAACCGAGGGTTGACTGTATAGCCAAATTTTTCTTAAATATTATGTCATTACCTCATGCTAATGCCGAAGGTGAGCGAATATTTAGCAAGATTGGATTAATAAAAATGCCAAACACGCACAAATTGGTAACTAATACACTTAATGGGCTATTGTTAAGAAGTCAGCAAATCACCATAACTGTATTGGTTACGAACCATCTAA